CCAATGCCTCAAACGCTCCTACTAACCAAACTATTATCGGAAATAAGTGTGTTGCTCGTGTGGACATGCAAAAAAAATTAGCCCGAAAAACAAAATCCTACATTTTTTATTCTAAAATCGATGTCGGACTCTTCTTTGAAGATTTCACAAAATGACTGTGGCATGATAAACGAAAATGGAAAAACAATCTCAAGTCGTAATGCTGAATCACTTTCTTTGTGAAGAATCAAGGGGTTGCAGGGGGAATGGAAAACGCCGCAATTGAAATACGTGATTCTAAATTCTAGCCATCGAGAGGGTAGGATTTCGTGCCGGCGACATTTGTGTGAGCGACTCTGTGCGCCGGGACTCCACGCCGACGATAACGAGGTACTTAAAACGAGTAATCACGATCTTTACTTCTCCCTTTTTCCTTTTATTTAACTTTTAACCCACCCGAGATACTCCCGAATTGACTTTCCGCCGTGGGTCTCTGTGCGTGTTTGTTTGCGAACATGGTGTGCGTGCTTGTTTTTGCCGTTTCCCTCTTATTGCTCTGTTTTGTTCCTCCGCGCTTTTTTTTTCTTCATCCCCTTTTTATTTCTTTTGCGATTCGAGACGTTATCCGACACTAGCATATCCACCCTCAAAATCTGTCGCATTAACGGGAAAGTTTCGACACGAAGATAAAAAAGTTTGTTGAGATGAGCACTTCATCTGTGGAGTTAGAGCAATTATTTACTTTTAGAAAGGGCTACAAGACATAATATCATCTAAAGCACTTCTTTAAATGTTTTTTCCCCTCACTTCAAGATGTTTGGTCTTTACTAATTTTCAGAACGATGCAGTGGCGTGGCGTGCTTTGCAATATATCGATTGATCTGCCATTTTAATCTATGGAAAGGATCGATTATCAAGGTGTTCGCAACGAAGACCTTGATAATCGATTCTTTACTACAGCTTCAAATGGAGAAATATCGATAATCGATCCTTCATGCCAACAATAGACCGTATTCGATACGGGTTTGATGTATCGTTTGGTTCAAAACAATAGAACGTAACCTCAAACCAAACTGTAAGGATTTGAGTTGGAAAAGCTGAAGATGAGAAATTTCCTGACAATTTCACTTTGCATTGGCATTAAGTACTCAAAAGAATAAAAAATCTGTTACAAAAGACCCGTTCTTTCAGATTTCTGAATTAACTTTTCAGGCTATGTTTATGTTTTGAACCAATCGATATCGATACAATCTCACCCGTTTGATGTATCGAATACGATCTATGCATAAAGAGCCTACTTCGTCGTTTCTCGGACGAAAGAACGTAACTCAATTCAAAGGTTGCAAAATTGACTCGAACGATTCAATTTTCTTCAAGAATGTACCAATACAATTTTTGTCCAAAATTTTTCAGATATTTTCCTGAGATTAGTAGAAACATCAGTGAATTTCAGGATAGATAAATCAATACATCGCAAAGCACGCCAAACCAATAGTCAATCGACGCGTTGATGTTTCAATTGAATACATCACTGTCCTCAATGACAGAAAGTGATGTAACATTCTTATCATAACGAAGGACCGTCCGTAGAGGATCGATTCTATCGATTCTATAGGGGATCGAGTCCCTTCCAGCGGCGAGGCGTGAATGATCGACTATCGATTTTTCCCCATTTGAAGCTATGCTAAATAGTCGATCATTACGGTGTTCGTTGCAAACACCCTGTTAATCGATCCTTTTCCATAGGTTTAAATAGCAGATCAATCGATATATCGCAAAGCACGGCACGGCACTGGTCCCGTCGTGTATTTCGGTAAACAGGACCCGTTTCAAAGGCGGGTAAACATTGAAGCCAGCATTGCACAAACATTGCGGGGGACGGATCAACCAACGCGCGGCGGCGCACAGTGGATCGAGTCAGTTCGAGAGGTCGGACACGAAATTTTTGACTAAAACTGCAAATTTTGATGTTTATTCCGTCACATTTTAAACTTTTAGGGAAGCATTCCGTAGAAAATTTCACGAGGAAACAAATGGAACCACTTTCAGAACCTCAAAGTTTTGTATAAACGGAGTTAAAGGCGTTTAAAGTTTCCGAATTTTGTCCGACCTCTCCTACTGACTCGATCCACCGTGCGGCGGTGCGATCTCTNGTACTCAAAAGAATAAAAAATCTGTTACAAAAGACCCGTTCTTTCAGATTTCTGAATTAACTTTTCAGGCTATGTTTATGTTTTGAACCAATCGATATCGATACAATCTCACCCGTTTGATGTATCGAATACGATCTATGCATAAAGAGCCTACTTCGTCGTTTCTCGGACGAAAGAACGTAACTCAATTCAAAGGTTGCAAAATTGACTCGAACGATTCAATTTTCTTCAAGAATGTACCAATACAATTTTTGTCCAAAATTTTTCAGATATTTTCCTGAGATTAGTAGAAACATCAGTAAATTTCAGGATAGATAAATCAATACATCGCAAAGCACGCCAAACCAATAGTCAATCGACGCGTTGATGTTTCAATTGATGTTTCAATTGAATACATCACTGTCCTCAATTACAGGAAGTGATGTAACATTCTTATCATAACGAAGGACCGTCCGTAGAGGATCGATTCTATCGATTCTATAGGGGATCGAGTCCCTTCCAGCGGCGAGGCGTGAATGATCGACTATCGATATTTCCCCATTTGAAGCTATGCTAAATAGTCGATCATTACGGTGTTCCTTGCAAACACCCTGTTAATCGATCCTTTTCCGTAGGTTTAAATAGCAGATCAATCGATATATCGCAAAGCACGCCACGCTACTGGCCCCGTCGTGTATTTCGGTAAACAGGACCCGTTTCAAAGGCGGGTAAACATTGAAGCCAGCATTGCACAAACATTGCGGGGGACGGATCAACCAACGCGCGGCGGCGCACAGTGGATCGAGTCAGTTCGAGAGGTCGGACATGAAATTTTTGACTAAAACTGCAAATTTTGATGTTTATTCCGTCACATTTTAAACTTTTAGGGAAGCATTCCGTAGAAAATTTCACGAGGAAACAAATGGAACCACTTTCAGAACCTCAAAGTTTTGTATAAACGGAGTTAAAGGCGTTTAAAGTTTCCGAATTTTGTCCGACCTCTCCTACTGACTCGATCCACCGTGCGGCGGTGCGATCTCTCATTTCGCGAGCGGTCAATCACAACCGAACCGGACCCGGGAATTTTTTCAGCGCTAATCAAACACCCGCAAGCGAGCCGCACTGCCTGGCCATCCCGTAAAAGCGTTTTTCTCTTCAAGGAAAAATTGAATCGTCCGGTGGATTTGACAACGTCGATGCAAAGTTGTCTTTCGTGGTAAAATGCGCTTGTCAATATCAGCGGCTCTCAAAATATGGTCTGCGACTTTCAGCAGGGCTCACGACGGCTTTTCGAGATCAAATTTTTGAAAATTAAAGGCGTTTACAAGGGGTGCCTCGGTAAAGTAAAGGAAATTCCGTGACATGTAATTATAATAACATCCTAGATGTTTTCAAGGGTTTACAAAAACATTTTAGAGCACTGGAAAAAAAACGTATGGATCTAGAGTCCAGACTCTTGAAAGCATCGACAAGAAAAAATACGCTTGATTCGATCAGATTTAAGCTTAAAGCAAGAACCAAGCCTTTTAATTTGAGCGGATTTCCTTTTGATTTAAGCTTAAAGTCAAAGTCATTAGATTAAATCAAGATTAAATCAAAAGTCATTTTTCTTGACAATGTTTTCAAGAGTCCAATGATCTCTACCAAATATGACTCTATATGACTCTAGATCCAATGTTTTTTTTTTTTTTTTTTTTTNTTTTTTTTTTTTTTTTTTTTTTTTTTTTTTTTTTTTTTTTTTTTTTTTTTTTTTTTTTTTTTCCAGTGAGGGCTAGGAAACATTAAAGCGGATCTTAACCCCTTTGCGGGCCGAATATTGAAATTGATAGAAACAGCTGTAGACAAAGAAGACAAAAATGGTATGGAGGGATCCTATTGGTGGAAGCAGGTGGTTGCAATGGACAAGGAAGGTAATTAATAGACTGACTATCGGCAACTGGCGAGAGACCCAATAGTTAGTCCATCATTTCACCCTTAGCCTGTATGGGCAATACTACAAATGACGTCATTTGTATAATCTAACTTTTCCTTTTATCGGTGCTAAAAATGCTTGTTAATATCTTATTCAGGTGATGATCTCTGAACTTCTCGTGGTGTGATTCGCTTCTTCTGTAAGATGTTGAAGAGAAACCGTACGACGATTTTGAAGAACGCAAAAAGTTGCACAATCTGATCAATGGTGCAGAACTCACAGGTTGTTTCTACGATGAATGTTTCAAGTATCGATGGATGAACAGAATGGGCGACCAGGCAAAGTCTGAACTGGATGAAAACGTCACATGTTTTCTCTTCAAAACCTCACTTAGAAAACAATTCTTACGACGCAGAGTGGATCGAGTCAATCAAAGAGGTCGGACATGAAATTTTTAACTAAAACTGCAAATTTTTATCTTTAATTCGTCACATTTTAAGGAGGCACGTGCATCTCCCATCAAAATTGGGTCATAATGTCATCGATACGCATTCATATTGTGCTTTAAATCACAAGCCACAAACTCACCCATACATCTTCATCAAAAAGGTCAGCAAATAGGGAAAGTCGAATCTCATTTTTCAGGCAGTACGAAATCAAGGTTACACTTGATTAATGTACCATTTTTTATGAGATCGGCTCATATTGGAGAGTAGGCACGGAACAACAACAGAGCTTTCTCATGACGTGCATGAAAGACTCGGCTATCAACGCTCTCCATTTTTTCAACAGATTTATTGCTCTAGATCAAATTAGCTCACATTGCAAATTAACGATCATGTGTTGGCTGCTTTCATTTTCCTCAAAAGGACTCGGTCTTTCTCTCGGATCTCGGAGAGTTTCGGTAAATGAGGAAAAGAGCCGAAACTCTTCATGAATTTGCAAAATTTGAACAAATAGATCACCAAAAGCTCAATAGTCACCCATCTAGACAACCCAAATTGATTTTGCACAGACGTAGTTGAGCCATTCGTCCTCGGTTCGAATATTGTCACTTGACTGCGAATACTCTTGGAGGACGTTTAATCCAAGAGCAATGCGTTTCCGGTAGGTTTGTAATAATAGCTCTCGTGCAATACTTGTTCGGCACAAAACTTACACAGATGTGAGTGAATAAACGGACCAGTGGCGTGGCGTGAATTGCGATATATCGATTGTTATGTTATTTAAAACTATGGAAAAGGATCTATAAAACAGGGTGTTCGCAGCGAACACCTTAATAATCGATTCTTTTCCATAGGTTTGAATGGCATGGCAATCGATACATCGCAATACACGCCACGCCACTGAAACGGACTCCAATCACGTTAAAGATTCAAATCGACGATGTAAGTTGGCAATCACATAACTCGTTTGCGGTGTCTGAAAATCTACGCCTCTATGTTATTTTTTTAAAGGAGAACAAATTGACATCATTCCTTGAAGTTTTCGCAGAATTTTCTTCGCACCGAGAAGAAAAATCACGGCAGTTTTAAAGAGTTGCTGTTGAGTAGTTTCCCGTTTAAAAAGTAAAGTATGAAAGGAAGTCTGCAACGTCGCAAACCGAGTTATGTGATTGCCGACTTACACCGTCGAAATAGACCTTTGTAGCATTAGCTACATATCAACAGTTAAAGTACCAGACCACGTATCTCGGTTTGCGACGCTGTAGAAGACTTCGTGTCATGCTAAATAATCGATTCTTGTCGGAGCACCCGGCCCTCCAAAAAGCGATACATTTTCATAGGTTTAAATGGAGGAAATCCGGTGTTACCAAATTGCTGGATCCGCCAATGTTCTCATGGTTTATTCCGATTTTTAAAGAGATACTTTGTCAGCTAAGTAATTAGAAAATATTTTTCTTTTAAAGCATTATAACATACTGACAAAAAATTATGATCATTCAAAACCGAAACGAACGTTGTGGTGTTTTTCAGTGAATTCGAGAGAAATGATGCAGTTTCAAACCCTGCTAGCTATCTTCCGCCCTTGTGGGAAGTCTTCTTTCTTTGGGGGGCTTTCAGTTTTCTTCCAGCGTTGGCTCGTGATATTGTTTCCGGACACTCAGAAATGTTTAGCCTTAAAAATCAAGATGCGATGATCGATCACATCAACCAAGTTCAGTCATCATGGACGGTGAGAACCCTTTGTTATTTCAGTTCAAAATTTCGAGGAATTAGTAAGATTCTTATTATTTTTTTTTTTTATCTTTCCATGAAAGGCGTGAAAAATAAATGAGTAAAATTCTATTTTTCTTTGTAGAACTTAAAATTAAACACAAACGCTGAGTTACAGGGATGACTATTCTCGGATTTATCAAAGAAATAAGCTCGTCTCCCCATTAAAAAATGATGCTTAAACGATGAATCTTGCTAAAAAAGTTTGGAAAGACGACGAGAGAACATTAAAAGGAGACATGGTGATATCGAAACGAAGGAATGCCATCTTGAACATTATGATACCGCACACTAAAGAGTATAAATTAGATACATTAACGCACTACAGAATAAAAGTCTACGAATCAAGTATTTCATCGTCCCAATGATGTAAATGGACAACAGTGTAACTGTCTCTTGTACAGTTCATAACACGAAAACTGACGTGGAGACCTTTTATTGGTTGATAGGAAAGGGTGACGCTCCTCCAGGTACGGAAACAATACATGGACTGTAACCTCGAGCAGAAGCATTGATCTGAATAGGTAGATATACTGATGTATATAGGGTAACGAATTCAAATCTGGCTCTTTGACAAATGACAAACAAATGCACGCGAGTGAGATTACGAAAAGAACACAAATGTAGCGCGTAAACGTTTTATTTTGGAGCCATTTGCCTTCATTAAACTCGGAGTGTCAAAATAAAATACGGTATAAATCTATTTCAATTTTGGTTAATGTCTCATAAATGTAATTACACTTTCTCTCACACCCAACTTTTCAATCGATAACTCTCTGCTGCTCAAGGAATCAATGGATACAAACATTCTGAAAGGTGCATGCTGTCGATTCAATTTACTTTGAAAATAGTTACGCATATTTTTTGAAATTTACTGAAATACCAAATTAAATTGCGAATAAAATCATCCGATACATTTAGGAAGAAAGCGCTCACGCATTTTCAGGAAAATCTGGCAGCGTTCGATTATTGATGTACCGTTTTTTATGAGCACGGAGTTGGTCGCTGATCGTAGCGCCTGGAGGCAACTATTCGTGCTCAAAGGCTGGCCGTATTGCATATACAAAATATTGAAGGCGCTCTAATTTACTCACATGACTCGCAGCGCTACTCTTGCGTTGTCCTGCTAATTCCTTCCAGTGCGAGTATAAAATCACCTAATTTTTCTCTTCCTCCTCCTTTTTCTCTCCTCCTCCCCCTCCTCTTTCTTCTTTTCCTTCTCCTTCTATCTGTTTGCCTTTAGCCACATACCTATTTATCTAGTAGTGTCTAGCTTTAATTCTAATGATTCAAGCAATGTTTTATTACATTCATTTGCAAAGAGCTTTAAGCGACTGTTATTTATTGATCAATTATCGGTATCGCACAGGCTGGGAAAAACTTTCCCGATGACATCTCCCAGGACTACTTGAGACAATTAGGCTCTGCCTGGCTCCCAGAGGAAAACGATCTACCGAGTCTACCAGTTTTGAATGCTCTTGATGACCCTTTTCACACGGGTGCCGCCGACCCACCCGCGGAATTCGACGCAAGAAAGAAATGGACTAAGTGTCCGAGCCTTCTTCATATCTACGACCAGGGAAATTGCGGTAGTTGTTGGGTAAGTATATCAATCCGAGCTATTTACATTTATTTGTGTTTCATAATCTGGTTCAAAGTTTCATCATTAGTTCCACAATTTGTTTCCACAACAAGCCGCTACCTCAGCACACTAGAGCGCTCTGCGACTGCAAATCGCCATCGGAAACGATCCTTCCACAAATCATCGGACAGATTACACCGTCTGATCTCCCCCTCCACTCCCTCCCGCCAATCTTTTACTGGGCGTCCACGCCGCCTTCTTCCGGGGGGAACCCAATCAAATACCTTTCTAGGCAACCTACTATCTGCCATTCTCCACACGTGTCCATACCAAACCAGTGGCCTGGTTTTAATATCGTGCACAATATCCTCCTCAACTCCCATTGTTCCACGCACTCGTTCATTACGAACGCGCTCTCTCCGCGAGATCCCTGCAGACCTTCGCCGAAAGTCCATTTCGGTTGCCCGTAAGATATCCTCGGATCTTTTCCTCAATTGCCAGACCTCACTCCCGTAGGTAATTATGCTCTTCACGATGGCGCTGTAAATTCCACAATTTGTTTCCTTTTTAAGATAGAAATCTATACATAGTTTGAACTAATCATTTTGAAGATGAACTTGCACTTTAAGAGCATATTTCTATTTATGGAAAGCGTCATTAGGTGTTGCTAAGATTATGCGTGATGTCTGAGCAACCTAGATGTCTTCAGTGGCCTTTATCTCCGTTTTCCCACGAAATAATGTAACTATATTTCAATATTACGAACTTCTCCTCGCAAATTGCAATTTTAACTCTAGAATCTTGGGCACTTCTAGCTGAAAATGTTAATGATTTTTATCTGATCCCGAGTAAAATTAGAAAAATTTTGGACAAAAATTCCACGGATACATTCTTGTAAAAAATCGAATTCTTGGAGTCAATTCGCAACCTTGGAACAGAATCACGTACCTTCGTCTGGAAAATGACGATTTGAGGAGCTTTGCTCCAAAAGGTCTTTTTTTCATAACAAGAATTTTTATTCTCAGGCTTGGTTTTTGGTAGAGTGGGAGGAAAAGCTGGCTAATCTTAGCAATACTTGGTGGCGTTTTTCAGGTTTCGGATTTCTACTCTTTTTGTTTGAGGTATTGCAAAGAGACGGCCAGCAGAGGGTCAATTTTGCTCCATTTTGCTGGATTCAAAACGCTCCCTATAAAGTTTCAGCCGGTTTTGCCGAAAAAATTGAGATGGTGTCCAAAATATCTCATTTCTGTTCCTCTCGTTTCAGGCTGTTGCCGCGGCCTCTGTCATCACGGATAGAACCTGTATCGCGAGTAACGGAGCCTTCAAGGATTACATATCAGGCTGGAATCTTGTATGCTGCTGCATAGGCGAGTGCAGTAAAAGTTGTGGCGGCGGCTTCACCAGCAAAGCTTTCGAATTCCACGTGAAACAAGGGATTGTCACCGGCGGAGAATTTGGAACGAATCAGGTGAAGATGTAGTCATTGATTTTAACCACACCAAAAAAAAAAAAAAATTAGGATATTGAAATACCACGTTATTGGAAAATGAGCGAAGAACTCCAAACATTTGTCTTGATAGCCCGGGCAGTCAACCTAACATCCTCAGAGTCTGAAATTAAGCGGTTTACTTGAACGTTTTCAGTTTTCGAACTTTTTTTACGACCCGGGTGTTAATTCAATATCCGACGTAACTAAAAGTGATGGAGATTTGAACAAAATCATTTTCAGAGATTCTGTGGATCAAATTGAGACATTATTTAAGTATAATATTTCCTCCAAACTGCTGAACTCCGGAGCAACAGTAGTCCTATAATTCTTGAGATAAGAAGTCCATTTTTTAAATATTTCGGTAACGTTTTGGATGAAAGCGTCGAATTACGAGGGACTAAAAAAAGAAGGAAGGAAAGAAAGAGAGGACTACAAAAAGAGGAGAAAATAGGATTCTTCTTCAATTTTGATACAGAGAGAAGGTAGAATTCATTTTTGGGGGTTTCGAAACCTGATTGTGGCCGACCATCATACGATACAGCTACAATAGTCTTATGTTGTTTAAGTGGAAAATGTCCACCATAATTCCTCGAAAAATGATTTTTTTTTCTATTCCTGCAATGTTGAAAATCCCGGCGCGAAATTCACGCTTACTCAGTTGCTATGTTGACCACCTGTTACTCTGAACGCATGGATCCGGCGCGAATTTTGCGCTCTGGCCGGAGTGAAAATCTAACAGGCAAATGTACAACGGAGCTGCCGCAGCATGGATTTGAACTCGAGTCGTGGCGGTGACAGACGAGTACGTCACCACTTTGCCATTCGATGCTCACATCAAGTACAGCTGAATTCACGCCACTTGAGGAACCTTAACTAATTCGTCCGTCGTTGATGATATTCACGCTCTGATCCTTTCACTCAGAGTGCGGCGCGACATTCGCGCTGGGTTTTTTTTTTTTATTTTTAACACTGTGATATTAAAAGTGAGAATAGCGCCTGCAATTACTCATGCTTATCAACTTTCTTGTCAATTGAACCATTTCTTGAACTGCGGGGAATAAGGGGCAGTAGCTCCTAAAATAAACGGCTCAAGGAAAACGTTTAACCATGAAAACATACTTGCACTTGGTCCCACTCGTAAATCACCCACATGTTCAGAGTGAGCTTTTAAAAGTGGAACAAGAAATACGTGCATCAAAGAAACTGTCTTTCTCTTTTATTTTCACATTTTATTTGTGATGAATAAACTCAGTGACATTTTCCATTTCGCAGGGCTGCATGCCGTACCAGATAAAACACTGTTCTCACCACATGGGCGATAAAGGGAAATATCCTAATTGTAAAAGTTATAACGAAACAGTGGTTCCAGTTTGTGTGAATGCATGTACCAATAAAGGCTACAAGACACCGATGAGCAAAGACAGGCATTTTGGTAGGTTGACTGACATGACAGAGGATTTAAAAAGTCTGAAAAATACTTGTTTCATGATCTTCTTCCTTCTTATGCCTTTAAATGATATTTAAAATGCTGGTCAATTATTTTCTTGATTGTTTCAGTCACGCATGATCTGATTTCCGAATCAAAACTAATTTTATTACATAATAATTGTTACGATGAATTAAAAACTATAAAAGCGAATTGGGTGAAATTTTCAATACCGTTGGGAAGACAATATTTCTGTGTTCAGCATAATTCCCAAAACGATTTGATTTCAGTTATTTCAGTCGAAGCCTGATACCGAAATGTGGTTGAGCTAAAAGCTAACAGTTCATGTAGGAATATGATAATTATAAGTAAATATCAACCTCTCATAAACGAGATTCAAACGTTCGAAAGTAGTGAAAGAAGTTTAATTCACTCTACGTTTCTCGTCCTCTTCCTCACTCTATCCTTCGCTACAAATGAATAAATTTTCAATTTCGTGAAATCCTTAGTTTGAAAATGAATGAAAACGAGTTTTTTTCCAATATTTCTAGGGAAACGTGCTTACCAAGTGACGGTTGCTGATCTCAAAAAAGAATTGGTTGAAAAGGGTCCAGTTACGATGAGTTTCAAGATTTACGAGGACTTCTATCTTTATAAAACAGGTAACCACAGTTTAAAAACGTTCATCAATTAGAATAATTATAATCTGATCGCTTCTAATCTCGGTTTAATTTAATGAATCTGGAGAGAAACTTATGTTATACTTCTACAACCGTGGAGTCCTACTTTAAAAAATTGGAAAAAACTAGCATGTCAAACAATGATTGTTTCATAAAATTTGGTCTACTCTAACAAAGAGGCAATCAGGTAATAATCTACGAGGAAAAGTATGAAGTATGAGGTATGGAGAGGTAGGAGGGTAAGGAGCGGAAAGTTAACAAGACGGAACCAACACAACAACATGGAAATACAGCAAGGGAGAGGACGCGCGTTGATGACGGCGCAGAGATACAACTATTCGTACTTGATGGATGTCCGTGTTGCGTCTGCAAAATTGAAGGCGCGATGGCGCGAGGCGTGACAAGCAATGCCTCGCTCTGTGCTGCCGATGAGGTGTTGTTCGAAGTGGGGAGAAAAGTCAAAACACGAGGTCCGAATGCGTCTCTCTTATCTTCGGCTGTTTTGACACCCGAGTTTTTCCTCTTCTTTTTCAATTTTATGTCTGATTATTTTTATAGGATGTATCCGTAGACCTTGTATATGAAGTTCGTATGTACCGGCAAGGTTATATGGATTGCATTTTGCAATAAGGAACCAAGAGCATTCCAATGTCGCTAAGATTGTGCAACCATTTTCATCTTGCAAGTGTAAAATGATCATCTAAACAAGGAATAACTTTACTCCCGATGTTCTATAAATTAACGACGGAAATTACCTTGGTAAATTTAATTTTTTGCATGATTCAGTAATTTTATTGTAAAGAATGTAAGTTGCACAGTCCTGGCAACACTGGGATGCTCTTGGTTCCTTTCTGCAAAATGCGATCCATATGAACTTATGATTGTGTTTTCAGGAGTATATCATCACGTAACTGGCGAAAAAATAGGAGGGCATGCTGTGAGGGTGCTTGGTTACGGGACAGAAAAAGGCGAAAGCTACTGGTTGGTCGCCAACTCTTGGAATTCTGAGTGGGGAGACCAAGGGCTTTTCAAAATTAAGAGTGGCACCAACGATTGTAACTCTGAAGAAAATTTTCAAACATCCGAACCAAAAGTTTAGGAGAAATTCACCGCCACCTTTTGTGTGAAATAGCTCATGTTCGCCTTTGGGAGTATATTAAAATCCGTTCAATTAAAATTCTTTTCTCCATATTTTTTATACTTGTCCAATATTTTATTGATGTTTAAAATGAAGATACCAGTGGCGTGACATACTTTACGGTATATCGATTTATTTGCCATTTAAGTCTGTGGACAAGGATCGATAATCAGGGTGTACGAGACGGAGACCTTAATGTTCAATTCTTTGCCACAGATTCAAAAGAGGAAGATATTGATAATCGAACTTTCACGCCTGGCCACTGGAATTTACGGTATTGAATAATTGCTCGCAATCGACTTAAAGCGATTTCCTTTCAACAAAGTTCGAATATATTCATTCAGGATCAACCCTTAAGTTTATATTAAGTTTGGTTGGAACCTTATTACAAAGCTTCTCACGTTATGACTGGCTTCGGAATGACTTAGTCGATAAGAACCACCCAAATTAACCAATAGGATAGGAGACATACTCCCTATATCTTCTTTGTCTATAGCTTTGTCCTTCAATTTCAACTATCAGCCCACTCTAGATAATGTATGATCTTTCACGAAAAGAGGGATCTTGATTTAATTCTAAAAAAATAAAAAAAATAAGAAACGTGGTCCAAACTGTATGTAACAAGGTGGTAAAATAGTGCTGACAACGTTAATTGTGAGTCTACGCTATTTCAGGGGGAAAACGAGGCCAAAAGTTCAAAAATTTCAATTTTAGTCAATCATTTTGAGCTCTGAAGTTTATCGGTGCAACATTGATGGGAGAGGGTCCAAATGCAAAATTAAGGTGATTGTATGGCGAGAGTAAGCGATTACAAAGATACAGAACAAACTTTTGGCAAAAACTAAATGCAAATGTGCATATATTTTCGATGATACATTCTCAAAGAAGGGCTAGACATAGATGTTGGTGGGTGAATAGAAAATTACCGGCAAAATCTGCTTTAGTTTCGTAGCTTATTGACTTTATCATAAACATCTACCCTCATAGAAAGGAACACATAGAATTTGTTTGAGTGTCCTCTTTTGAGTCACGATGATACGGGAATATTCAGGTGAATTGTGACCGGAATTCTGTAAATGTTTCTATTGTCATCCATTAACAGTGCGACTTCCGTTCAGCCGTGCTGAGGAAGAACGCCGTATGAACATTCGAGAGTTGCCAAATTTCCTCCGAAAAAATATTAATTTTCTAGGAAACTTGCGAATATTTTTCCTTCAAAGTTTCAGGAACTTGAGGTGATATTGCGAACAAAATGATCTAAAAAATTGGAAGAAAAATACGCATAAGTTTACCAGGATATTCGTGTTTCATCTGAGGAAATTTGGCAACGTCTGAAGGCTCATACGTCGTTTTTCTTTAGCGCGGCAGCATACAGATTTGTTGTTACCTCATTCGACGCGCTGGCGCCGAGGGTCCTCTTTTCATCCCCTTTAAAAAATGCAACGGGAAGGCGCCCGCAACCGCTTCTCACTTCGAGTGCCCCTCGTGATGCATGGACGCGCTCCCGCCGACTGACCGACGGCAATAACATCTGGGCACGTGAAAAAGACAAACGGGGCTCCATAAAGAGGACCGAGCCATAGAATATTAATGACTCATGAGTAATTGAAATGAATTGCTAACGATTCTGGAAAAAGCGCGCGGTCCGAGGGGATGGGTGGGAGGAGGGGGGCGCGCGGCGGGGAGCACGGTAAGCGGAGAGGCCGTAATCCCCAGGGCTCAAAGGGCTCGCCGGATCCGGGGTCCCTCATACCGCGTTTCGATTTCACCTAATCTTTGCCCCCCGCGAAACTTGACCCTTTCCGCGCCGCCTAAGGCGCGCGCCGCACAGTGGATCGAGTCCATCAGATAGGTCGCAGGTCGGACATGGAATTTTCAACAAAAACTGCAAATTTTGATGTTTACTGGAAAAATAAAAAACACATTGGATCTAGAGTCCAGACTCTTGAAAACATTTACAAGAAAAAATACTCTTGATTCAATCAGATTTAAGCTTAAATCAAAAGGAAATCCGCTCAAATTAAGAAGCTTGGTTCTTGATTTAAGCTTAAATGTGATTGAATCAAGAGCATTTTTTCTTGTCGATGTTTTCAAGAGTCTGGACTCTAGATACAATGTGTTTTTTTTTTCCCCAGTGTTGATTAGTCATATTTTAAATTATGAGAGGTGCGCTACATGAGGTAAAGACCACGAGGAAACCAATGGAAGCATTTTTAAAATTTCAAAGTTCTGATTTAACGGAGTTATAAGCTTTTGAAGTTTCCAAATTTTGTCCGACCTCTCCCGATGACTCGAGCCGGTGTGCGCCGCCCGTGACGACGGCCGTCCCTTCCTGGGGATCAAAATTCAAGGGGTTTGTTCAGAAGTGGGTTAAAAAATCCCTCGGGAGAAGTTCCCGGGCACTGGTGCACAGTGGATCGAGACAATCAGACAGGTCGGACTCAAAATGTTTGGCTAAAACTGTAATTTTTGATGTTCATTTCGTTTTATTTTAAATTTTAAGGGGTGCTTCGAGAAGAAAATTTCACGAGGAAACCGATGAAACCAACTCTAGATCCTCAAAATTTTGTATAAACGGTGTTGTCAGCTTTTAAAGTTTTCAAATTTTATCCGACTTTTCCTATTGACTCGATCCACTGTGTGGTACCTGCTTCGCGGTAGGTATTGTTCTGCCCCTGCATATGCCGCGGCTCAGACGCGAAATGAAATTCGGCCTTACTGGGGAGCAGAGATGGAAAATTTCAAGATTTTATTCGCGAAAAATTTCACTCGTGAAATTTTTTGAAACTTCTGGATACATTCGGGGGCCAAGAAACGCTGAGACGCGCCTAGCGACGGCGATTCTTAATGTTGACATTTTTCACCCCAAGCCTAAAACATTCATGCGTTGCAAGTGTTTTCGTCTGGTTTGGAGGTATAAGGTTGGGCTAAATTCCTCTCTAAACTCCCTTTTGTGCCTCCTTCGTGTACAGCATCTCATTAAGGCAGCATTACACTGCCGCATCAACAGGAAGACCATCTGAAGCGCATTCCAAACTTCTACAGGTTGCATTGATAATTCCCCCAAAAATTGAGAAATTTCATGAGATCTCACTTTTCTATTCAATTTTCTTACAAGAATTTCCGAAGGTCGAGTAAGTATGCAGCACGGAACGTTAAAAAATGATGCAAAAATTCAGCAAAAAACTGGCTCATAATGTTCTTTTCTAATCTAACCTTCAGTTTTTTTTTTTTTTAATATTTTCATTCGTTCCGGTGCCTTCCGAAACGTTTCTTATGACATTTTAAATAAAAATGGCAGCACTGCACTTGCGAAAGCAAGAAGGCAACGGAGCGCCCCGAGCTCATTTCGCAGGGACGGACTACGACCGTGACAACTTGGATGGTTGCGGAACTCCTTGTGAAGTTGGCATCCTTTAAATTTATTTAAAATCGAATTAGGGCACGTTTGTGGGAAACTTGAGAATGTTGATGAATTCCTGGAACGACCCCGGGTTCCCGCTCCCTCCGGGTGGGATGCCGGGCGGAGGCGCCGCGTAACCTTGAAAAATCCCTTTTTCCTAATTAACTCGCGGCGAGGAGCCCGAAATTTACGAGGGAACTAGACACGGCCGGCCAGCGGATTAGCAAAGTGCAGCTCGACCGCGCCCGCCGGAGGCTTCTACGATTGTTTGCAGTTTCCCCGAAATATCTTAAAATATCATGACGCCCCCCCCCCNGCAACTTCAGCCTTCAGCCCCACGCGTCCGTCAACTGTCATGCACAGAAAACTTTCCGGAAACGGAAACGTAGGTCTGAACCGAACCGGAGAATTTCTACGATGTATCACACTACCGTGCCAAGGAAAAACGCCGTATGAACCCTCGGACGTTGCTAAATTGCATTTGATAAAACACGAATTTCCTGATCAACGTATGCATATTTTTCTTCCTATTTTTCAGGTAATTTTGTTCGCAATTTCACCTAACGTTCTTCAAAATTTCAAGGGGTAACATTCTTAACTTTCCTCAAAAATGAACATTTTATGGGGGGAAATTTGGCAACTCTCGAATATTCATACGGCGTTCTTCCTCAGCACGGCAGTACAGGATGAACTGTTTCCATGAATTTTAAATTTTCCTGGAATTTCGTGGTTTTCAGACGAGTGTTTGACTTTCCCCTGACTTCGCAGAGATGTTTAGAATAGAATTGATTTTCAAAGGACGAATCCAATGCGATATTTGAGTGTTGCCGATCAGACGTATTCATGCGAAGAGCCCCATTTAAACCGATTGACAGGTAAACAAAGTTCAAGATTTGATGGTGAAATTTACTGGCTTTCCACGTTCGAGTACAATTTTCCGACTTCCTCGGGCGTCAGAATTAATAGGAAACACATTTGATTTGCTGAACCAAAGTTTAGTTTCTATAACCGAGAACTTCAAGTATCTGAATCGGAAAACTTCGGCATTTAATATAAATCGATCTTTCTTTCTCCGTGAAAAACTTGTCACTCTGTTGACCGAATGGAATAAATTATGCATTGAAGAGCTACAATCTGTGGTTCAGTTCAGAAACAACGTATATACCATTAGTTCTCCTACGTGCATGAGTGTTTTTACGAGTGAACCTGGAATTGTTGTTCCGAATTGCAAAATGACGTCCAATTCATTTCCCCAGACTTTCTCTGTTACTAGTGACTGTGGCCACCTGTGTCTAGGAATCCACCTTTCTGTTGATCAATTGGACTACATTTTGCAATTTAGAGCTACATTTTCGAAGACTTTCTCTGTTACTAGTAACTGTGGCCCCACCTGTGTCTAGGAATCCACCATACTGTTCATCAATTGGACACTGGGGAAAAAAAAAAAAAAAAAA